AGTTAATCTCTTGGTAATAGTCAGTCTCTTACTAATACAAAGTCAATCTCTTGGTAATAGTCAGTCTCTTACTAATACACCAAACCACTTTTTAGGAAACTCCAGCGACACAAGTCCAAGGTGTAGAAGCCCAACATTGATGGTGCCTGACTCAGAAGGTTCTAGTGAAACTCCTCCACGGAAGTTTAGATCACTTTCAGATATTTCTGAAACATGTACCTTTGCTCTATTTGGTGCAGACCCAACTAGCTTTCAGGAAGCTTCAACAAAAATGGAATGGAGGTGTGCAATGGAAGAAGAGCTTATGGCAATAAGGAAAAATGGGACATGGGACTTGGTGGACCTTCCAGATGGAAAAAATGTTATCGGAGAAAAATAGGTGTTCAAGACAAAGTACCATTTTGACGGAAGTGTGCAGAAACACAAAGCCAGATTGGTCGCAAAAGGATATTCACAACAACAAGGCATTGACTTTGACAAATCTTTCTCTCCAGTTGCTCGCTTTGAAATAGTAAGAATCCTTTTAGCTTTGGCTGTACAATTAAAGCGAAAGGTTTATCAATTTGATGTTAAGTCTACATTCCATAATGGTGATTTGGAAGAAGAAGTGTATGTAACGCATCTAGATGGTTATGTGGAGAAAGGAAAGGATAGCAAAGTATACAAGTTGAGGAAATCACTCTATGGGCTAAAACAAGCTCCTTGCACATGGTACAACAAAATCGATTCACATTGCAGAGAAAATGGTTTTGAAAGAAGTAAGAATGAACCAACTTTATATGTGAAGAAATATGAAAAAAATGATCTATTATTGGTGTGTTTGTATGTTGATGATAGGATCTATATGGGTTCATCTTAGTCTTATGTATATGATTTCAAATCTTCTATGATGAAAACATTTGAAATGACAAATTTGGGAGTGTTGCATTATTTTCTTGGACTTGAAGGGAAGCAGGAAGAAGATGGAATTTTCATATCTCAAAGGACGTATGCCACTGATCTTCTCAAAGATTTAACATGCTTAACTACAAAACAGTGGCTACTCCTATGAATGTAAATGAGAAGCTGCAACTTGATGATGGTATTGAAAAAGCTAAAGGAAGTTATTTTAGAAGTTTAGTTGGAGGCTTAATTTATTTGACGCACACTCGTCCTGATATATCATTTTCTGTTGGAATCATTTCAAGGTTTATTCATATGCCTTCGAAGCATTATCTTGGTGCAGCTAAAAGAGTCTTGCGCTATGTTGTTGGAACTACAGGATTTGGACTATGGTACTTTCGAAGTACTAATTTTAATCTCTATGATTTTTCAGATAGTGATTGGGCGGGGAATGTGAACGATAGAAAGAGTGTTTCTGGGAACCTTTTCACTCTTGGTTCTGCAGCTATTACTTGGAGCTCAAAGAAACAATCAACAACATTGGTGTCTTCTTCCGAGGCTGAATATGTTGCAACAGCATTTTCAACATGTCAAGTGTTGTGGCTGAGGAAATTGCTTGCTGATCTTCACCAAGAACAAAAGGGAGCAGCAAAAATTTTTTGTGATAATTTATCAGCAAATGCATTGGTCAAAAATCATGTTTGTCATGGAAGATCAAAGCACATAGATATTCGGCATCATTTCATCTGTGATCTGGTTGCAGAAGGGGTGATTGAGTTGAAGAGTTGTAGCACAGAAGAACAGGTGGCAGATATTCTTACTAAAGCACTTCCTCAGGAAAAGCACAATTACTTTATGTTATACCTTGGAGTATGTGATTTTGAATCAAGGGGGAGTGTTGAGAATTGATTAAAAAAAAGAGTCTAAGTTACTAAGTTACTGATTATTTACTATGAGTTTGAATAAGTCTTTTACAAGAGTTGAAAGAGTCTTTGTTAGGTTGTTATTTGGTTGCTATTTTTCTGTCACTTTCCTAGTTTCTGGTCAAGTGGAAGTCATGGACATTTATTATCTTCCAGAGTCTGTAAGCCTATAAAGGCAGATATTTCCAGTTAATAAAGTAAGCACTTCTACAAAGTATTTCCTTCATCTTCTTTCATCAGCTCTAAGTTTTGTAGTTAAAGAACCTCTGTTTTTCCTACAAAATAAAGGCTACTTCAAGAAGTATCTCACAAGTGTGCAAAGATGAGTTTTACTTGCATTTGACCATGATTACTATGATGTTTTCTAACTTTTTTCTTATTGTTTTAACTTGGTCTTTGCATGACATGAAATGTTTTTTTAGCATGATTTTGTAGCTCTATGCATTGCTATCATACGTGGTACATTCTTGTACTCATGAATACTCTTGCCTACATTGTTCCCAAATGTAGGGTCTGACACTCCAGCTTCCCATCTCTGTGACTAGGGATCACTTAGTAGCTATTGAACATTGGTGAGTCCTCGTGTTTCGAGGATCAAACCTATTATTGCATTTTGTCTTTACATTTCAAATGTTGTACGTTATGCCAGGGTTACGTCCCGATTGTTGTTGATTGATAGATGACTTTAAGACTATATAAATTTCCGCTTTCTTTTACAAAAATCTTTATGATATGAATTGTCTTTTAAAATCTCTTGATTTTCTAGTATCTTGTTTATGCATGCTTAGTGGCTTGTGTGGGGCCTCTCGAGGACCTACACGCCATGTTACGCCTAGGATATACTTTGGGTTGTGACAAGGCAGAATGGTGAGGGAGGCCCATGTAATTGACTTCATTTGTCACCTAAACCCTTCTACTCACCACTTTGCCAACTGAATCCTCGAACCCAGTGAAACAGAACATTTTAAACCCTTTTTGAACTACGTAGTGGTGCGTAAATTACAAACGCATCCACGAAGCTTTCCACATAATTTTAAAAAGTTACATAGGAAATGACATGTTAAAACGAATTTCTTTTTTATTTCATACCTCCATTTCTTTCTTTTTCATTTCAACCAAACCCTCATACTCTCTCTTGGTCCTATTCCATTGTTGATTACTACAATTTGTTTTTGGTTTTTTCTGAGGTGTTTGAGTTCACATTTCACTCTATAGTTGTAAGTTTGTTAACTTGTTATTATATGTTTTTTTTTGCAGTTGTTTTGGGTGTTTGATTTTGGATTTTGTTGTATTTTAGGGTTTTAGGGGTTAGAACTTTTGTAGAGCTTATGTTATGATTTTTGGAAGAAGTTTGATTTGTTTCATGCCTTATATACGCATAATAGCAATTTGTAAAGTTGTTATGCATCAATGATAGACTATCCTCTTTACACAAAAAAAAAAACAAAATGTTCTCATGCAGTACCATTTAATCTTTGTACTGATTCTGGAGTATTGCCTTTTGTTCTTTTACTCCAACAAGTCCACCATATACAGGAGAGTACATAAAGTGAGGTTAAAAATCATCTAAACTATCATACTTGATTCATGTTATCTTATTGGCAAAACTATAGGTACTTTGTGGCAACTGAACCGCATAAGACAACACCATAATAAAATAACTAATTTAGTTCTAGTAATAAGTTTTCATGAGGTTTTGTTTCTTAAAAACTTACCTAAAAACATATTTTCTAGAGGCATCAAGGGCTTCTGTTCATGTAAGTTGTGAGTCAATTAATGACCATCTTTCAACATTCTCTAAGAGATGATCTACACCTTGCTAAATACTATACAAGAATTATTATCTAAACAGACACTAAGAACAAATCTGTAAAAATCAGTAAGAGAACAATAAAGAAAATACTTTAATATAGAATCATATGTAAGAATCAATCAAAAAATCATGAAGTAAATACTTGAAAAGAGAAAACAAAACAGCGAAGAGTATTTTGGGATCCATAAACACCATAGTAACAAAATGAGAACTCAAAAGTCTAACATGAGTACACAGTAACAAAATATAATATCCTAAAATGAAAATCATAAAGTGAAACTTATAAAATCAATAAATTCCATCAATCCATTAAATTATTATGAGAGACTAACAACCATCCTTGTAATTGCTTCAACTAACTCTTCCATACCCAACAACTTCCTAGATTTCTGACAGATTATCTAAATCACCATTAGTGTTTTCACCAACATCAAAAGAATCACGAGGTTGAACCTTTCGCACAACATGCCATCCTTTATTCGAAAGATTGTCAACATAAAATACTTGTGATGCTTGGTTGGCTAATACAAAAGGCTCATTTACTTTCAATAATCATTTTCGGTAAACACTTACGAAGCCATATTCATCTACTTTAATTCCCTTTCTTGGTCATACACATCAAACCATGCACATCGAAACAACATCACTCTTCTTCCACCAACAAATTGTAATTCAAGAATTTCAGTTAACTCTCCATAGTAATCAATAGTTTTATTCTCTTCATCAGTCTCACCAACTACAATCACCTCGCAATTTTGAGTTCTCAAGCCTTTATCATGGTCTTGCACTTGAAATCTATATCCATTAGTAACATAGCTTTTGAAACTTGTCACATATGGCAGAGGACCACGTGACAGTGAGAACAAATATTCTATTTGCTTACTATCATCATGTTTGCGCAATTCTGCAACCTATCAAACTAAGTATGTATACACAATTTAGCAAATGTTATTCGCAAATTAATTTAAAATATAAAATCTTAACTACTCACCTTAATTTGTAACCAACTAATGAATTGTCTATTCCATTCGATCTCTGAATCATTCTTAGAGGTATCAAATGGAACTTGTGAAAATTCTCTACAAAGAATTTAAAGTATAATATGTCATTTTAAGTATGGAAATATGGAAAGGTAAAAGTCAATTATTTGAATTAGTTATTACTTACTCAAGAAATTGTTGAATTTCATCACAATTCTTTAGAATATAAAAGTGTGCCTGCTCAAATTCGTCTGATTCAAGACTTCCTGGTGTGGCACTATTTAAAGTTTTTCCAAGTTGAAAAAAAATTGTTAAACCTCCATCAGATTCAATAGAACCGCCATTATAATTCCGCTCAGTGCGATTAAATCTTGTTTCCACCGTATGCAAATACCTTGAACATAAAGTCATACATTCCGTTGCAGGAATGAAAACCTTTTCTAACTTGCATAGAGTTATAGGAATTTGGGCTTCTATTTTCTCTAGCTCATCTACTCTCAAACATTTTGCTCCGAGCATGTTGAAAAATATAGACAACTCAATAAGTGGTTCAAGTACATATTTGCGAAGCATACCACGTATTGCAAGTGGGAGTAGATGTTGTAGAATAACGTGGCAATCATGACTTTTCAATCCTGAAAGTTTGCGATCTTTAAGATTGACACACTGAGATTTATTGGATAAAAATCCATCTGGGACCTTCAAATTCTTTAAGAAATTGAAAAATTTATGCTTCTCTTCAGGTGATAATGTTAACATGCAGTTGGTAACTCATATTTATCCCCCTTTTTTATCGGATGCAATTCTTTCTTTATGTCTATTACTTCCAAATCCAATCGAGAATTTATGGTATCTTTGGTTTTTCCTTTGACATTTAAGATTGTTCCCAAAATGTTATCACATATATTTTTCTCAATGTGCATCACATCTAAGTTATCTCGCAACAATAGAGTTTTCCAATATGGAAGATCAAAGAAAATGCTCTTCTTATTCCAATTATCACCCGTATTATCATGTGATATTTTAGTCTCTTTCTTTGGATCCTTTGATAGTATGTTACCATCTAAATCAGCCACTTGATCAAGTATATCATTACCAGATAGCATTTTTGGTGGTAATTTATGCTCTTTAGTGCCATCAAAAGAATCTTTATCATTCCTCCATTTGTTAATACGAGGAAGAAAGCGTCTATGGCGCATATAACACTGTTTATTCCCATTTTTCAACCAAATTGAAAGAGTTTCTTTATTACAACATGGGCAAGCCAATTTTCCTTTGGTACTCCATCCTGACAAATTTGCATACGCAGGAAAGTCATTAATGGTCCATAACAAAGATGCATGTAACATAAAATTTTGTCTAGATGATGCATCGAAGGTCTTCACACCAGTTTCCCACAATTCCTTTAATTCTTCTATCAAAGGTTGGAAATAAACATCAATTGCATCTCCGGGACTTTTAGGGCCTGGAATAAGCATCGATAAAATAAAATTTTCTTGCTTCATGCATAACCAAGGTGGTACGTTATAAGGAATCAATACCACAGGCCAAATGTTATGTGGAGTTTTTGTACTTTTAAAAGGTTGAAAACCATCACTAGCAAGTCCAAGTCGAACATTACGCGGTTCAGTAGCAAAAGATGGGTGAAGTTCATCCAGTGTCTTCCAAGCTACTGAATCAGCAGGATGCCTCATTATTCCATCATCAACTCTCTCATCATGATGCCACCTCATCAAAGAAGATTTTTTTGAAGACAAACAGTCTTTGAAGTCTTGGCTTTAGAGGAAAATAACACAAAATCTTGCATGGTATCTTTTTCCCACGCTTAAATTTTGTTTCCCTATTACGTTTATCCTCCTTCCATCTAGACATTCCACATACTTTGCAAGATTCAAGAAGCACGTCATCCTTCCAATACAACATGCAATTATTCTTACATGCATCAATTTTCTGGTAAGAAAATCCAAGCTCCCGAATTATCTTTTTTGCATTGTAATATGAACTTGGCAAATTTGATCCATTTGGCAATAAATCTTCCTTCAGCATCTTCAACAACATTGTAAATGACGCACTACTCCATTTACCAATACTTTTTATATGAAGTAATTTGACCAAAGTAGAAAGTTTAGAAGCTTTGGAACCTTCATAGATTGGTTGCTCAAAATCTTTTAAATGACTATAGAATCGTTTTGCTTCAGGATTTGGTTCCTCCTCAAAAATATCATCACCACCAGTGTTCATATTGACTTCATTCAAATTAGGATATAAATCCCCTAAAATCTCATGTATTTCATCCTCCTCATCATCCCTTTCAATGTCATTATGGTCTACAAATTCAGAATCTGATTCTGGTTCATGTAACCTCTTCCCATGATGATACCAAAAAGTATTACTTCGGACAATTCCATGTACCAATAAATGTGACCTAACCATCTCACGAGTTCTTGAAGATGCATTACAACATTTCATACATGGACAACGTATTTCTTTTTTTTCTCCTAACTTTGTAAAAGCATAATTCAAAAATTTCTCCACCCCAAGCACATAAGCATTATCAAGTCGATCATCAAAAAGTTGCATCCATTCTTTATTAGGTGCCATAGTCTTGAATCACGAAAAATACATAACAATCATATTAGTATAACAACAAAAAAGAGTAAGAACTAAAATTTTGTTTTGAATAAAATGTAATACTATGTTTATTTAATGTTACTATCTTTTTGTTCTAATGTTCAATTAATCAAACAGTGAGTATATACGTACGCTTGTGTAATTTTATTTTTTTAAGGTTTAAGTCATCAAGCTAGCAAAAGCAAGTATAGTACTAACTGAATTAGTTTTCTCCTAACAAAATCAGTGTATCTAACACACCTATGTGTACCCCAAACATACCTTCATGTATAACATCAACTCAATATTTGAATCAGTAAACAACTTAGACAAATCAGATTCAAATCATGTTGTCTATCTAACTTTTCTTGTATACAGTATATTTACTTACACTAAACCTTTCAGTCCTAAAAGATTACATTGTATTCATTTTTGCAGCAATCTTTCAGCTCTCTTTTTAATTTTTAGAATGAACTTTCATATTCCAAAATCTCTTGAAACACTCTATATTAGTTTCCATTCACAAAAGCTATCGCAAGAGACAGAATAATAGGCACACATTTGCACATTAATCCAACTACAAGCAGGCCTATTTCATTTCATTAATGTGGAAATACAATCAAGACAGTAGGAGACAAGTTAAGGATAAATGGAAAAGATGAAACAATAGTCTTGTTTAAGCAAAAAGACTTCATCATAGAATGGGAAAAAAACAAACTACATGCACAAAGAATGAATACCGTGGTTTGGAATATACTTATACACTTGGCAGTTATTTAATATGTGGTATTAGTGCACTTAAACGAGAATTTTTATTCCTATTTCCTACTGCTATTCAAGTCAATAAAAACAACAACTTGCTTCCAAGATTCAGTTGCAATCCATTCTTTACAGAATGAGATGCAAATGACTTTTCTACAATAACAGTCATCATCTCACCTCATTTTATTTTCAATCAAGTATACTAACAAGAGTTCTCACATTAGGACATTCAACATATATATATGCTTACTACTAATATGCTCAACCGCACAGACACCAAAATAGAAAAAAAACTGATATGAAATCATACAGTACAAGTTCAGATTTGAGAAAAAAGAGGCATTTCACAAATAAATTAATAGTTATAAGAATCCAAACTTACCTTTAAAGAGATGGAAATTCCAAGAATGTGTCCAGATTATTAGTCTCAGCAAGGTAAAGATGAACAGTATGAAGAGAAGCTGTCAATTTAACACGACAATATAAGTTATAACTGTGGTTGTCTTAGAGAATCCACTATGCATCAGATAAGTAAAACAATAACCATTTATTAAGAACTGATGTGGTTGTCTTAAGAGAATCCATTCTTTATGATGAAGATAATCCATTTTTCTTCCTATTTCCTACTGCTTATCAAGTCAATAAACAACAACTTGCTTCCAAGTTTCAGTTGCAGTCCATTCTTTACAGAATGAGATGCAAATCACTTTTCTATAACAACAATCATTATCCCACCTCATTTTATTTTCAATCAAGTATACTAACAAGAATTCTCACAATAGTACATTCAACATATATGCTTACCACTAATATGCTCAATTGCACAGACACAAAAAACAGAAAAAAAAAACTGATATGGAATCATACAATACAAGTTTAGATTTGAGAAAAATGAGGCATTTCACAAACAAATTCATAGTTATAAGAATCCAAACTTACCTTCAAGAATGTTTCCAGATTATTAGTCGCAGCAAGGTGAAGATGAGTTGTATGAAGAGGAGCTGTCAATTTAACACGACAATATAAGTTATAATTGTGGTCATCTTTGAGAATCCACTATGCATCAGATAAGGAAACAATAACCATCTACTAAGAAGTGATTTGGTTGTCTTAGAGAATCCTAAAACCAGTTAATACATGAACCAATTCTAAGCAGAGACAATCATATTCAGGGAATAGTTGTTGCAAGGATATACATAGTGACCTATGACTAGATTTTACAGGGACAGGGACTTATAATTAAAGTTAAGGCTAGAGATTAATAACTTTCTTGTTGCCTTCCCTATTTTCATTCAAAAATACTAAACTTATGTACAGTGCAAACAAAATGAAATCGTTATCAATTTTGTTACCTTGTAAAATGAATAGCCAAAATATGTAATGATGGGTTGATTTATATATATTGTTATTTGGCTTTCAAGTAAAAGCAAACTTCAAAAAAACACAGATAGCTACAGGACAGACTTCTTATGATAGATAGCTATTGAACTAGAGAATGTTTCCATAATGGATCTTCAGTACATACTATGAAAACATATTTCAAAACTAGGTGATTTTGATTCTTCTAAAAGTCAATTTTTAGCTCCTTGGCACCTACATAATAAAGTTATAAGACAAGATGGATTCTATCTCAAGCAAATATCGAGTACATCATTGTCAAAGAGAGGCACATGAATGAAGAGATTTGATGACATCATTGTAAACAAACAATAGCATCAAGAAAATTTCTATTCAAGTATCACGACACACTTATCCATAGAGATTAGACAAGATTCAAACGTCAAATAAGACAAAGTTAAAAGAATGTACAAGCTCTATCCTTTTTTCAGATTGATGCTTGCCAACAAACTAGTCAAAATGGTAACTTTGAAGGTGAACTCGGATGCAGTGAATCACAATTAGGTTACACGTTAAGTCGAGCAAGAATAAGCTAAATAAATATTTGTTAAGAGCTAGAGAAAGAAGTTAACTCTAGTCTGTACAAACAAATCATATTATACTTAACACAGTTTTATCCTTTACTTTATCAAAAGAAGAAGTGAGACAACTATGTTTTTCTATGACCTCAACCATACAAAAAGAAATCGAAAAAACATGGATGCAGAAATATTAAAGGATTCAGTTCACACATTAATTAAGGATATGACTAAACTACACTAGTGCTTAAAGCAGAAAAACGTTTTCAGTTAAAAAGAGAAAAAAACAAACCTAAATGGAAACTGAAAAATCAGGGAAACTACAGAATTTGGAAAAATTAATTATTCCACAAAGCAATTCAAAGTAAAAATAGCATAAACTTGCCCCAAAGAGAAGAATACTCAATCATCCAACAGACCCATAAGCCAACTAGAAGTAAGAAGACAAGAACGATTCTCTTTACCACAAATTAGAATGTGTTCTGCAATCAAAATAGAGATACATGATTTCCTTAAATAGATGGAACTGAGAAACCCATGACTAATTTTTCTCAACAAACCTAGAAATTGATGCAAGCTTTGGATCTTATCTTCTTGTTAATTTTCCTCCAGAAACTAAAGCTCATTATTTTGAACTGAGAGAGACGTACGGCTGATAAAATGTGGGAAGATGGTAATCGAGAATCCCCAAACCTCTAACAGAACTAGAGAGAAGTACCATATCCTCCAAGCTGTTGAATTTTCTCTAACTGTAGAGGAGAGCTGATTCACCTGTAGATTGTGTAGATCGTGCCCCTGATTTCTCTAACAACAAAATGAACAAACCCAGAAATTTGACAATATTAGTGTTTGTTGTTCCAAACGGACGGGAGAAGTGGGGTATGTAGACGGGAGGGGTGGGGTATGTAGAGAGACGTGTGATATTGTTTTATAAAATAACTAGTAAAATTACCCGCGCTTCGCGCGGGAATTTAATATCACGGAATATATAAAATAATACTTAAAACCTATCAGTCACTGAAACTAAACACTATATTATCTTATATAAAAGATTAATAATGTAAAGGAAAATGAAAATTATTAAATCTTACCATTTATCCTTAATAACATAAGCATAAATTATTAATGATTGTAAAAATACATACAAAGATCTGTAACATAAGCAATGGTGACACTGAGCCAATCAACATGAGTAAAGTACACAAATACTTAATTGTGAAGAAGAAGAAGAAGAAGAACTCTATTTATAGACAACAAATAGTAGTGTGAACAGATATTTATTGTGCCTTATCGGAAAGGTTACAACTATTTAGAAAAGTTGCAATCCTTCAGAAAGGTCACAACCTTTCATAAAAGTCACAACTTTCCATAAAAGTCGCATCTTTTCGTAAAAGTCACAACTCTTCATGAAAGTCACAACTCTTCATTAAAGTCACAACTCTTCATAAAAGTCACAACTTTTCATGAAAGTAGAAGGCTAGTATTGGAAATAAATAAATTAAAAGTGAATTCTGGTTTATGGTGGCGCCACGTAGGCGGGCCTAAGGTTCTCTTTTATATATATATAAGATTAAAGAGGGCCCTTCTTGATTATTAATTAACAACCGGATACTAACTTTTTTAACATTCGGAAATTATTTGGTCGCTGAGAATAAATTAAAAATTAACTTTTAACAACAAAAAATATAGTTTGTCGTTATAGATATATTATTAATGGCTGAATTCATATTCTGTCGCCAAGAATTGTTCGTTGAAAATGAAATTTCTTGTAGTGTGGGGGAGGTCCTACAGGTTGTGGAGTAATCCTAATATATACGTAACGGGAAAGTATGTGTGTAAGATGATAAGGTTTGTATCATTAGAATGCAAAGTATCTAAATCCTATATGAAATAATAGTATGCATATTCCCATATCCGATCTCAATAATAATTGCATCATCTATCCCCACATCCCCAATGACTTATAATGTTGTATTCCAACTTCTTCAGGCTTCTTGTTGTTTGTTAGCTTATCCGTTTATTTCTTGTTGGTGAGGTTTCTTTCCTTGGTCTCAATCCGTTAAACAATTGTGGATTTCGTAGTAACCATTTGGTCTATTTTCCACGAGACATGAAGTAGTAATAATGTCAATAGATTCCTTGAAAACATATGGATTATCACTTTGAATGATTGTTTGTATGGGCAAAGGAATAATGAGTTTGGTTGAATCATATGCCTCATTTGTGCTAAGGAAACAATGTCAATCATATGTATAATTGGGATTAGTAGGGACTCTGGAATATTACTTTCAAACCATAGAATTTAGGGATGGAAATATATGTTTTATCCCCACCATACGCTACACAAAAAAATGTAAGATAGAAAAAAAAAAGAAAAAAATGTAAGATGAAGCGAGTGTTATACTGCCGCCATGGATCAAGGAGCTGCCCTATTTGTATATTTTTAATTTCTATGAGATGAATAATACAGACGCCATTACTGGGTTTAGTTTACAAGGGTAGGATGGAATAATGCAGACGCCATTACTGGGTTTAGTTTACAGGGGTAGGATAATTCGTCGCTTGGTGAATGTGTTTAGGGAATTAAGATCAACTTACAATTTTTATTACTCACTTTGTGATGTTGCTGTGTTAGTGTGAAGTCTAGAGGTGGTATTAATATGAAAGAAGACCAGAGGAGCGTGAAAATTGATTCCACGGATGCTGTGACTAAATGAAAATATGACAATTTCTCAATGTGTTGTTATTCTGTACAGATGGAACTATGGTATGTGATGGGTACAGTATTCTGAAAGATACTGAATAACTTGATGAAGGTGTAAATTTTTTAGAGTTATTTTACAGAGATGTTGGAGTGTTGTGGTTCCTTTTAGAGGGGTTTGACAAAGTGGTTGCAACATTTGAAAAGACAACTTTTGCGGTCAGTCGCGAAATAAGTCAGAAAGTTGTGATGTTTAAGAAAAGGCGTGATTGTTAGCTGCTGGTCGTTTGCTCCTGATGGGTCGTAGTATTTTGTGTTGTTATATTTTATTATGGGTTGTGATATTGTAGTGGTTAGGTTTAGTAGGATTCTAGAGTTTTAGAGTATCAGTGATTGCTGGAAACATGGAATGTTGTGTAATTTTATTATTCTTAATAGTATGAAATTGTAATTGCTTCTGAGGAATTTAAATTGCCGATAACATCTAATAAGTTTGTGCCACTTTAGTAATTCATGTAGGGAAGTTAGTAAAGTATGTTTTTGGTGAATATAATCACTCAATTTAAGGTATTGTATCAATAAAATCAGTCTATTTAACGAATCTGTTAGTTAAGATCTGGCCTTGAGGGAAGGACAGCAAATTCAGCAATGCCCATATTGTACCCATATGATAGGAAAATAGCCCTTACTCTAACAACCACTTTTTCGAGAAGGGGAGGAAGTGGCAACAAACGTTATTTCTGAGCGAAAATTGAAAATGCATATTACCGTAAGCCATTTCTAATTTCTGTCATTTCTTTACACATCGCTCTGAAATTTTATTCATATAAAAGATAAGGTAATCAAAACCCAAGCTGGGGTTAGTTTAATAAGGTATTCTAATCCTACATAATGTAGCTGGAAAAGTTCGTAACTTCTAACATGTGACAGACACCTCTTTTCTGTGCAGACAAACTCTGTCCAAACAAAAATATAAACGATAGTGTTGTCCCAATTGAAATCTGCAGATTAGGTTGTCAATACATGTTTGTTTTAGTGAAAATTGGAATTACTGCAGAGAGAGTGGAAGCAAACAATATGAAGAAGAGTAATAAATTAACCTGACCTTTAGGTATGAACTGTAATCTTATTTCGTGTATTTCAAATTATATTATAATGAATAGGTATTTTGAGATCAGGTTTTTTATTGAACGTAAGAAACATCCAACAGAGGGAATTTAGCACTTATGAGGTGTTAGCGTTTAGAGTTCAGTATATAATTGACATCAACAATAGTTTGTAAGTAGTTACAGTTGATGTATATTGTAGAGACCTGATAAATGGAATTGTCATTTGAATTAGATAGAAAATTAACAATTACGCATTCACACATAGGTAGTTAATAAGATACAAACATTGGTTAAGAAGTAAATGCACACATTGTTTAGTTACATAATTCAGAAAGACATATATTTTTTAACGGTTTTTGGTTTCTTCAGTTTGACTTGGGCCGCTCCATCTGTCATTTTCTTGGCCCTCTTTCTGTACGTCCTCACTGATTTGACTTCGTCATTAACAATAATTTGTGCTTGCTCATCAGCTTGATGTATTTCTTCAGCAATTATGTTGTGTCTGTGGTTTAAGTCATTCATATCAATTCGCACAAGGAATTTGAATAGCTTGTCTTTACTCAACACCAATTTGCGGTAGTAGTAACATTCTTCCCTCTTGATAATATGTAAACAATTGGATATGTTAGTTGGAAAGGTTTCAATAAGATACACAATAGACTATGTAAATATGCCCTTACATTTAGTCGACTCTATAAATTAAGTTCATACCTTTACTGAGGTTGATTCTATGTACTCTTGCACGCTGCAGCCTAGTAAATATTTAGCCTCCTCAAATAGAATGACTCACGCACGTCGTTCTCCAGCATAAACTTCAAGTCGTAAGTAGTACCTTCAAAATAGGGTGCATTATCTTTTAATATAATGTGGTCTGTATTTAGTAAATATTGAATGGTGTTTTAACAGAGACTAACCTCATTTCATATTCGACATTCTCACTATTGCAATTGGTACAAGCTGCAGTGTCTTCTATAAATTTCACTTTCTTGTGGCACTTTTTGCAAGACGAATACCATGGGTCATTTTTATTTAGTATGTCTTCAATTGTTGCTTTGAACTTGTACATACAATCCTGCAAATCACCAATATACCATAATTGGAGAATATACATTGAACATAGAAATGAATTTTATTAATGGAGAGTTCATGTATAGGTTAGTATCTACCTGTGAATCGGCCAACAACCCATCCAAAATATGGTCCAACGGTACTTCTATGGCTCTTCTCATTACCTTTGTTGGTGTTATTGTAATATCTTTGTTGTCAGCCTTTATGAATTCATGCATGTATTTACGATGAGGTTAGTTAATTGTATCACCCATTTAAAGTGAGGTCTGTTCGGTGCATATTATTATCCGGTTTATAGTGATATTATGAAACTTCACAACGATGATAGTAGAGGAAATATGTCTTGTTATAGCAATTTTCAATTATACTTGGCAGTTGTGGGAGAGGGGGGTAAAGTAATAGTGGTGAACATATTAGTGAATGTTGTAATGTTGTAATGTATTGGTGGAACATTGGATTGATCAAGACGTTGCTCACAGGAATAGTAGAGATCCCAAATCAGCCTAATGTGGCAGGACCATTTAAACATTTAGAAACAACAACTATAGTCAGTTTATAGTTGATAAACACGTACAATACACTATCGATACCTTTGTATATTGAGACTCTAACATCACATAAGGCAAGTATGGGCTTATCATCTTGTAGTTTTTCGAGGAATGCACCGTCATTTCCAGTAAAATCTTCCCATAGAGTAACGATTGTATGCTCCATGCTGGATTATTCGTTAGAAGTGAAAAGTCAATACATAACGTAATCTCTATATAGATGGTACATTATATAACATTGCAACTTACAGCTCATTTGTAACAACTATTTCCCGTCTCTTGGAATTTTCATTTTCAATGAGGGGATTAACCGAAACTAAAATGCAAATCAAGTCTGGAAATAGATCATGCCGATTAGTCATAACGATAACGTAATGGGGCAAGAAAATAAGAGCTAAGTCGTAGGGATAGTTACCTAGAATAGCACTATTAGGTAATTGATCAGCTTGTTCCAATGATG